CATTCAAGCACGTTTGGGCATTTCTCTTTCTCGTGTTCTTTCCAATGCTTTGTCTCGCTCGCACTCGCTTAGTAGACGCGCCTGCGCATAATGACGCTCGACTATCTATGTCCATATTTGGACTTCGTGCGTCTCTCTTTCTCGGGCCTCGTGCCTCTCATTGCGAAGATACGCGACTAGCAATATAAGAGTATTATATATATGCGTGGAATTGACCAATTGCAGAGTCAAATTAGCCATTCGACCAACGTGATTGATCAGTTCCACGAGACCTGCTACTTGAGTTTAATGGAGAACGGCCTTTGAGTTCCACTTTTGTGGAAATACGACTAAAACCAGCGGCTGAAACCGTCGTAAGAAACTACAATGGCATGGCCGCTCTCAGGCTTCTCTCTGCTATCGCTATTCCCTCGCATTGTGCAAGAGGCTAAAGAAAAACCTAACGGTGTAAAAAGTTCACCTAAAAATAACAGGTCTCTCTGGTGCTGCATTCTGTAGTGTGCTTTTAATTTCACGATGCTGTATCACCAGGCGGCAGCACAGATGATGTTTTACAGCTGCGTACGCGACACACAAGGTGGCGATGTCTGCGCGCGCACATTTGCACGGTGTCGCACCCGTGTCTGATTACGGCACGCGAAACGGGATTTCAATATGGCAGCCGTCGTCACAGCTGCACAAGTTAGTGTCGCGGAAATGTTTTGAAGTCGCTGAGAAGGCAATTGCGACGACCGGTGGACGTGCGACGCGTAGGTTAGTAAGACGATGTGTGAACGCGCCGGTTAAGTTCCGCAATCGATCAGTCAATTTGTTTCAGAAAAAACGAGTCGCTTTCCGGATCTACGAGAGAAAAGATAGTCGTCGGGTTTCCCGTAGCTGTCACGCGCGCGTTTACTGCGACATACGTTTGTCACGATCGCGAAATCAACCGTGTCAGTACGGATTAAGTACGACTTGACTGGTGTTCGGCTGGGTCTGATTAATCGGGTATGCCAAAAAAAAGAATAAAAAAATAAACGTTCGCGGCGTGGTACCTCAACCATGCTTTCGCGCCGCTCACGAGTCTCGGTTTCGTCCTTCAGAACGAACGACAATGCGCCACGCCGCATCGCTTTCTTCGCATCAAAATTTGCGTTGTTGTGTACATTCGCGATTACATACGCGCGTGGGTTCACACATTTCCTTTCTCCATCAGTTTACACACACAAACTTAACGCGGCATCTATTATCATTCCCCTATCAGATGTGTGATTGCGTTGTGTATTTTTTTTCTTCTTTGGCTGGGAGCGCGTGTCTGTGTATATTTGTGTACTTGAATGTGTGTGCACGTACGGATTTGTTTTTGAGAAAAATCGCACATCTGTTATCCCCGTCCTCCCCACATTATTCGGTTTTTCTGTCATCATGTGCGATCGACTGTGCCGTATTGTGTATGAGTATGTATGAGTATGCGTGTGCGCGGCTGGGTGTCAAGAATTTTGCTGCTGCTGCTGATGCTGATGCTGCAATGTCACACGTCCTCATCCGGTTTTGCTCTGTCTTTTATCTCGTGCGACATCCCGATGTGTCTCGAGACGCGCGACTACAACGAGACGGGACCATGCCGAAAATATTCTCAAGCATCGTTGACATCCGGGTTTGGCGACATTCGGTAAGTCCGTAACCTTGTTGCTATTTAATTTTGAGACGCGCGAACCCAAAACAAGTATCCTCGCATAATGAGAAACACTTTCGGCGAGACCTCATCGTTGTTGTTTTCGAAACGCACTTGATTGTTGCATATATAGATAATGCGTAATCTTAACTTCGTTAAACATATTTCCGGTTTAGAGAAGCGATTAAAATGCATGAAAGTCGTGTTTAAATAGATGCAGACATATTTCACTTTAGTATTTACTTGTAATTTTTGTTTTGTTTATAATTTACTGATGTTACGACGAACTTTACTGATATGACGACAATTTTAATGTCAAACTTTTAATGTCAAGTCTTACATTTTTATAAACGATAAACTTTATATTTCAAATGATTAATTTTTTTCGTAGTGTTGTATACGTGGAATTTTATTTTTATAATGTACATATCGTGTGTATAAAACTAGATTTTTTTTAAATTAAGAATATTTGTGTGTATATTAATTATATGTATATTAATATATACACAAGTTAACCTATACCATTTAATAAAGCAAGTTGGAAATATAAGATTATGTGAGGTATACAATATATTATAAAAATGTTAATGTCACTTTTTTTACAATATAAAATTTCACACTGAACATTATGTACGTTTAACGTTAGATTTCTGAAATTATTTCACAAATTTTAACATCGAAACGTCAAAGAAATAGAAATTTTTGAATTAAGAGCATTTTAAAGTTGATTCAGATCAAGATTGCGTGCCTGAAGGTTGCGTGCTTATCCGCGGTGCAACGCACAGTCTCAAGTTGCAGACAGTATCCTTTTCAATGTCGATATAAAGATTACGTGCGATAATAAAAGTGCTTCCGCTGATATTCGCGCATTATGTATGTGTACAGATAATAGCTATTGTAATGAAAATACCACGGAAGTAAGAACATTCTGTGTTACGTGACACATAAAGCGAAGGTTAATGCGAAAAAAATTTCTTTCGGAAATCTGCTGCCGCGGTTTTTTCTTACAATTATCTTACAATTATTTCTTATGATAAAAAAGATAAATTGTTATATTTAATTAATTATTTAATTTTGTTTCTTTGACTGACATCTAATTATTTAATATTACCGTATTTATATGAAGTTGTAACCTTTATGACAAAAAAGGTTGCCATATAAAAAAATCGATCGAAATAGATTATTTTTCTCCTTACGTTATAACCGCACGTATTGATTTGTTAATGTTAGATAATTGAACGATATTTTTTACATATCTTACACACTCGACTTTTACTAGATGCATATTATAAACCATTGTTTCAGATAAAAATATTTCTTTTTTTTTTTTTTTTCCATAGAATCTGAAAATATGCAGTTTTCTATGGAGATGCGTTTGACATTTTAAACTTGTTTTCTCTGAAAGAGGACGATAAGAAACATAATTTTAACATTGTCCGCGGCTTCTATGTGTGTTTATACATGTATATAAAATATAAAACTACAAAAAATTTAAAAAATGTGAAATTAAATTATTAATTAGAAGAGAACTTGAAATGGTTAAAAGTTTACTCCACATTTTGTCGACTTATATTTACTTTTATCTATTTTTGGATGTGTATCACGATTTTCGATACACACCTTGTATAGTGTATTGTTGCCGCCCTGTATATTGCGGCTGCTCCTCAGATGTTCTCCATGCATCGATCGGAAGAAAGAAGAATACGAAGCTTCTTTTGGCGTCGTCGATTTGTGTTACTGACGACTGGCCAGATTGCATCGAAGGAATTGGAATTAACTCTAAAACCAACGCGCACCGATAGACCAAATCGAATATATTTGGTTTTTCTCGTTTTCGTGTTTAGCGCGATGATTAAAATTGATTCTTTTTAAATTATTTCTCGTTTTTATTCGTTACTCGAACAACCGCGACATTTTGGAGGCTCGTCTGGAGCGATCGTTTTCGCGAGTGAGTGAGTGAGTGAAAAGAAATGGCAGAAACGACTGGAAAAATAGAAAAAAAAAAAAAAAAAAAAAAAAAAAAAGAAAGCGAACAGTTCGCCTTTCTTGGAATCTTCTCTGGAAGATGTGACGCGCTGCAAACGGGAATATTGATACGGAGTGACTTTTAAAGAGCAGCAATATCGAAGACACTGCGGCAAAGAGATAACAAGCTGCAACACTTATGCGCATACCTCTATTGACGTTCCTATCGTTTCGTTTATATGAGAAGAAAAACGTAACATATACGTTATTATATATAAGTTATAATCTATAAAGAAATTTGAGCTATTGTATAAACAATAGAAATAGAGGAGAGAGAGAGAGAGAGAGAGAGAGAGAGAGAATCCGCTTGAGAGGATAATTAAATCGGATCTGGGTCTTTGCAGAGAAGTAAAGTACGAACTAGTTTACCTTACAAGAATCGTTCTTTAAACTTTCTCGTTGATAACCGAAAGTTGGAGTAAAACATAATAAGAGCGAGGAAAAATAGCTCGGTTTTTCCGAGCCAACTCGGTATCATGTAAGAAAGGAACAAATCCTGAAATGTGAAATATCTGTAAAAACAAAAAGCAAATGTTACAGAGATGATTGTCAAAATGTTCACAGCGCATATTGTTCCGTATCTTTAAGATGTGTTTTGTAACTTTAAGTTTTTTTTAATCTTGACAATTATTTTCTGGAGTATAATTTTTGTAGTATCTTCAATTTTTTTTCTTGTAACAAAAATGCGTTTTTCATCGTGAGTGCGCGATTTTTCTTCGGGATGTCTAGTCGGCGAGCAGATCGTAATTTGCTAATAGCTGAATAACGAAAACTATAATAATAAAACTATAATAACTTTCGTGGCGGGAGAAGCCTTTTGTTTTCTCGTTGGAAAACATTGTTGCGCACCAGTGTACAATTTATATCCTCTCCAAAGCTGTTGCAACTGTCCGATTTGTTCGCACACACGTATGCGCAAGAATGGTTAACTTCAGCGGACCGCCGTCGCCATCAGCACCGGTGACGGATGCGATGAAGAACAAGACAATAGTGACAGTGAGGCCAAAGGTAGGAGCGGAAGATTCACAACTATACGGGTGCGAACGACATAGAGAAACGAAACGGAGTGTTTAGACTGCTCGAAAGAAGAGAGAGAGGAATGGAGAAAGAGCGCGAGAGGAGGAAGAGGAGGAGGAAGTGGAGGAAGAGAAGATGGAAGCTTTGGCGGGTTGAGGGAAACCGGGGGACGATTCGAAGAGGAGGAGAGGGTAGCGCAGGCCATGAGGAGCCTCGCGGCGGTGGGAGCCGGGTAGCTGGAAGGTGGCGGAGGAGGCGGCTCGTTCAGCACGCAGGATCAGACTCGGGGAGAGAGACCTCGTTCGGTCGCTCTCGGCCTCGTTCTAGCTAGTACCTCCGCCGTACTCGTATGCTAGAAAACGCTGCTGCTTTCGCTCCGGTTGGGAAAATCGCGCAAAAGGACGCCGAATTCGTCTGCCGCCGCGTCTGTTGTTTTTTTTTCTTGAATTCGCTAGAGTCTCGCGAAAACAGGCACAAACAAACGCGACGCGTCTCTCACGTTGTGCGAGTCTCTTCCGTCCAGGTTTCTCGCCACCCTGTCCTTCGACGTCTTCCTTTCAGGTAGAAAGGGCTCCGTTATATATTGTCTCTTGTCCCCCCTTCGACGCCTCTTTCCTTTTCGTTGCCTCGATATTTCCTCTTCGCCGACGACGCGTCGATTGTGTCGGTGTTGTTCAGTACACGGTCAATGAAGAGTCGGCCAAGGAGTCTTGGATGCCAGAAAGAGAGAGAGAGAGAAAGATAGACGGAAAAAAAACAACCGGGAGAGGAGAGCAAAATTGCGTACGTTCTCCTTTTATCCTCTTTGATCGAGCACGCACCCTTCTCTCGGTGACGAGTTGACGGAGAAATAGATTAAAAAAAAAAAAAAAAAAAAAAGGCACATCTCGTGTAAGAATCACGTCATACAAATTGTACATTACCTCAAAAAGGATCTCTTACACAGAGGTCAGAGTTTTAACAAAAGTGAAAGAAAGTGGGAGAAAGAGAGAAAGAGAGAAGAAAACCCATTTTGGAAATTGCACTGGCGTTTAAGCTATGACGTAGTACGCTCTAGAGTGGGTGACCCTTTTCTCCCCTACGAGGCGTGAGTGTAAGACTAATTAGCGGACAACACTAGCGTAGTAACGAGTAGGGTGAATAACAAGAAGAAGGGGAAAGCATCGTCGCACGTATCTGAAGAGAGTCAAAGACAAGCAAAATCTTGTGCGGGTATTTCGCACGAGTGTGTGTGTGTGTGTGTATACGTTGGTTATGTTTCCGGCGAGCCTTCAGGGCATACTGAAGGAAAAGAGGGATGATTAAGAACAAAGAGAAAAATCTCATCAATTTGTTCCTCTGTTCTTTCCCGCTTTTCCTCATCTCCGTGTAATTCCCGGCATTCGCGAATAGCTGTCGAGCTGGCGAAACGTTGAGCATATAGCGGACGAGCTTAAATCGCTGTCCTAAGCATTTTCAGAGCTCGACATCTCTCTTAAGTCGAGCGAGGGAATATAACCATCGTCTGCCGGTTTTTGCTTGTGCGTGGCCTTTAACGTTTTCGTCTGTTTTGGTACCGGTGACAAATTGTCAGTCACGACTTATGTATTTCGTACACGCGAAACGAACGAAAAACTAACAAATTAGAAGTGAATTAGGTCATTCGATCGGATTCGTTTTTCCGTTTGCAGTCAGTCGTTAGTTTAGACAGATTAATTTGCGAGTTGGTCGGGGTGAAAAAAAAAAATGTTCTAGCGCTTTCGGAGTTTTTGGCGATGAACGAGTATATAATTAACGGAAAACGATAAACGATTGATCAAAATGCCTTTCTTCTCGTATTTTGCGCGTAAACTCACTTTTACGACATATTTTACCGTAATTTTCGTAAATTGTTTTTATACTTTCTCTCAGAAAAAAAATATTTAATAGTTTTTAAGCGAAAAAAAGTCAGACCTGATATATTCTTAGTATCATTTTTCACTAATTTTAGTGAAACACAGATTAAATTACTTATTAATCATCAGAACGAATATTAAATGACGGATAATTAAATTCTGGAGATTGACTTTTCGCAGGAGAAGATCGAACAGGGAATTGCTCGAGCACGAAAACTTCGATGATTCGTACGGGACTTGCGACGAGCACGAAACGACGAGACGCCGAAGATCGATTTATATTGCGACGTATCTATTTATACTATGTAATGCCGAGTATACGTCAATAAACAATTTGTTTTAGCGGACTTTTACGCCTGCACGGTGTGGCATTAATTTACGTAAATACAGAGAAAGAAACCACGCGCACGCGATACACCGCGCGATATACATTTTCCTCTCCTATAAATACGTTGCTACGCAAATAAACGATTTTCTCGCGTGTTGTGTTAAATGTGCTCAAAAAAAAAAAAAAAAAAAAAAAAAAAAAAAAGAATTAAAACCATTTGATTCGCAGTGAACTTATAACGCGCAAAAATTTTCAACAGTGCTCTCTCGATTAAATTCGATCGGTACACGTACGCGAGCGAGCGTACGTAATACCGCGTGCAAATAATGCGCCGATCTCGCGCTTTAAAGCTCTCGCTTAAACTTTAAGCACAACCGGGAAAAATGGACGACTAGGGTAATGGGTTAAACGCGGCCGAGCGAACTCCTCATTTCTCTCTTTCTCCCTGCAGCTGCGGCCCTTTATCGATCGACAGCGGGCGAATACATACAAATGGGTAAACAGAGCGAACGCAGCTCGACTCGATCGCGGTATAAAATTACACACGTCTCGTGATATATTCGTAGGATCGAGAAAAAGGTGAAGATAATAATATGCGAATTGCGCGCGAGGCTTCGCAAATCAAAAAACAAGATTATCAGCTGCAGTGACTTTGCGAGAGCGTTGTTACACGCGAGGCTTTTGCTTTCCCCACGACACACGAATCCATGTGTGTCGCGTTAACTGCGGCGATCAGCTCGCGAACGTGCAATTTTTCGAAAAAGCGAAGAAACGTCTTCTCTTCTCGGCCGATCTTTTGTGTCAGTGTATCCGACACACGATCTCTGATTCTTCGTTCGCGCGATCTTTCGTCATCTTCGTTATTCAGCGTCGATGGACGCGCGAAGAAAATCGAATTTGTGAAGATCGAATCGGGAAAAGTGCGCACGAAGTACGAAGTGCAAGAAAAATCACGACTGTTTTCTCGGTAAAGTGAATGACATTTTTCTTTTTGAAGCACACGACGAGAATACAAACACGCATTACGCGCTGAAGAAACGTGACTTCCGCTGATATCGTGGAATATATATTGGTTTCTACGCGCGTAATATCCGCCAACGGTAGATACTGAAAACATCGGTAAGCAGTTTTTTTAGCTCTCATTGATACCTTGTATAAGTCGTAGATGGTTTATCTTCTTTTTATTTAGCGTGTTCTGATGTTATTTTATTTCTTAAGATTCGTAATCTTCCGGATTTAAAAAGATTTTTTTACAAGAGAAGAGAGAGAGATAGCGTGTATATTTTTCAAAAATCCCTTTCTAGATGTTTTTAACCAAGTTAAAAATTTTCCATCAGTCTCCTGTCAAAGGATTGATCAGAAATAATTGAAGCGGTATAATTTGAAAATCTAAAATCTGATGCTATAGATGACGTTGCATATATTTGTAAAAATAGTAACAGATTTTTTTGTATATTTCCGCAACATATCGGAAGTTGAACCAATTGAAAGCGTACGATTTGTCTCTTAATTCGTGCACGGATTAATAATTATTTTTTTTTCATAGAATTATTTCGCAACCCGAAACAGATAGATGTATATAATTTAATCAGTTGTTGGCTAAGATTACAAGCCTTCTTTCCCATTATTTTCAAATGATCAAACTCAAATAAAGTCATAAGGAGTGAAAATTAATTATAGGATGGAGTGATACTCCTATCTCTCTCTCTCTCTCTCTCTCTCTCTCTCTCTCTTTCAGGGAATACCGTATATAAATCATGCAGATTCGGTGTTAACTGTACGGATATAATGTTGAAGAGTAGATTAAAAAATACATTGAATTATTCGCGTCACGAAAACACGAGTCAATTTTCGTGCCGCCATGATGGGACACTCTGTATACATGTTCCATTAGGACGAAGAGCTTTGTAATTAATGTTTCCCTCAGCAAATTGAACAACCGACGAATTAAGACTTTATGCGGTCGATTCATAGTCGGTAATATGTAATGACAAATGTTACAGTATAATGAACATAATTACGGATAGATGTACATATAATTGAAATATACATCTTGTCTCAATCTTGCTGAGAAGTGAAAGATCGACATATATATTAGTCAGTCTTTTATTAGATATAAATTAATTATAACTCGTAAATCTAAATGGGATAGTTTAGATATTAGGGCGTTAAATAATGATTCAAAAATTATTTTTACTAAAACTATAACGAACACCATCTAGAAGTGCCAAAGAAGAGTATATCAATATTAATTTTTTTACTCAAAAAAACGTGTTTCCACTTTACAGTCAAAGGACGTAAAAAAAAATCAATTCTGTTTATTCAAAAAAAATTAATGTGCTTGTTAATTACTTTTTACACGACATATTTTTGATATTATGATTTTTATTATTGCATTTAAAAAAAACAAATATAGTGAACGAACATAAAAAAAGCGGGTAGAGTACACTTTTATATGTTTTACTATCAATCTTGAGTTTTAATAACGCAATTGTTTTAATTCTTAAAGAACCATTATTTTTTAACAACAATGAATCACATGACTTGACATTGGAACGATTTAATACTCATCTCTTGCCGCGCACTAACAATGTTTCTCCCATTGTTCGATCTCTCGTCACACTATTCAACCGCGAAGAAGCCATGAGGCTTCAAAGTGTCTGCATAATTCATGGTCGATCTTCATGGTAGTAACCTCTCGTCCATCATCTTCGGCTCATCAGCTGTTTTCATGTTCGTCATAGCGTACTTGCGATGCAAAGCGTGCTCGAGAAGAGCACACAGCATCAGTGAACGTAATCAGTTTCTCTGTTCTCTTTTCAGTAACACAGAACAGAGACGATTCTCTGTGCATATAAAAGTTAGAAGCTCTTAACGTTAAAACTAGGTCCTTGTTACAGTCATATTGAATTATGACACGTCAGAAGTAAGAATATATCAAAGTAAAATTTCTGCAATTCTCGTAGAAACAAAAAAAGTTGTTCCTTAAAGTTGTCATCGATTGTGCATTTTTGTAAACTTCTTTCTTTATTTTTTGCATTAACAAATGTCTAATTTACTTTACGTCATATAAGTTTTAATGAAAAAAATGAGTTTTTTTGATAAGTTATTAATTTACATGCATTTATTATAAATTTTTTATTATCAATTTTATTATTAATTTTTTTATATAGTTTATTAGTCTATCGATCATAAAAAAAAACTTTATGGCGAATGTAGCGCGTGTGCTACATGTTCTTTTTTCTAAACTCAAGCTATTGGCTACGTACGTGGGGTGGACTGTGAGTTTAATAGAAATATAAAACCAGCGTGAAACGATTATAGTTTTTTTTTTTTTTTTTTTTTTTCTAGTTTGTGATGTGCATTATGAGAATAAATGCACATTTATTGATTTTTCCAACTCTTTAAATGTAGAGAAAAACTACATTATAGAGTTTCAGACGCACGTAATGAAAGTAGCACAAGGTCTTGCAACAATAAATTCAGATTTATATATATTTTTATGTGAACTATTTCAATAAATTTAGATACAAAGTACCAGTATTTGGAACATTTTCACATACTGTGTCCAAATTCATATTGGAATAACAATTCGTATTGAAATAGTTCGTATGGAAAAAGTGCATCTGAATTTATTGTCGCAAAGTTTTCCAAATTCTCAAAATGTAGATTCAAAACGTGTAACAATCACGGGACGGATATTTTATCTTTGACAGTTTTAGAAAATCTTTTTTGAGACTGTAGGAAATAGTTGGAACTATTTCCGAGAGTGTGTCTAAACATGCATTTGGCATTAAAAACAATTGCAATCTTCAAAATCGTATATTCGCGCAATATGTGCTGTCTATAACGTGGAATTGGCAACAAATTCGAGTGTGTAACGAATTTCGGATGACGCGAATATTTTGTATACATAATGGTTCTCGATGTATCGCGGTTACACACATACATACACATTATTTTAGGGTCAAATGGCGACACACGATGAAATCTTTATGCAGACGATAACGGAGAGAGAGGAAGAGAAACTGGGAAGTACGCGCGGTTTTTATTCAATCGATGTGCGCACCCGGATCGAAGGCGATTTGAATATTTCTCTTCTTCATACCGACTTACCATCTTGAAAATATACGATACTTCTGTGAACGATTCCAATAGTCGTTTACACAACTCAGTATTCGATCACTACGAAATTCAATTTTGCGTTTCATTTAGTTCGGACGATTTTTATTGCGGTGCAGGTTTTGTTATGCGAAAACGTTGACTTTCTCGCGTATTTCCAACGACTCGCGCACATTTGATCATCATCTCAATCACTTTTTATTTCTTTACCATTCGCAAACTCAATATCATTCTATCATCCCGAATGACTGAAATAGAATGACGAAATAGAATTAAGGATCTGTATTACTTTCTTTTTTCACTTTGTTTATGAGAAATCGAAGTTTGACGCGCTTAAAACACGCGCTAAATCTTTCGAAACGTCTAGATAATTTGTGAAGCGAACTCTGAAAATTTTGATGTTTTGCTGTTTGTCACGTATCGATGTGTAATGATGTGATACAAAGCGATTAAGCGCGAGCCAAGACACTTCGATGAGAGAGACTGCATCGGCATTCTAATAACAGTTCGAAAGTGGAATCTAGCGCAACCTTGGTTCGCTAATTCGACTTGTATCTAGATGGATCTTGGCTCGTACCAGACTATCGCACTCTGTCACAGTCACCCTTGACATTCTAAACACTTAGAGTCGTTTCTAACCAGATCGCCGTCACTGGACACGATCGGGTGTATTATGACTCAACGATTTTGAATAATTCATCACACCAAACGCGAATAGGAATAAGCATGACGGAGCGCGCACAATGGTGTCGGATTATGTAAACAGATCATGTACTTTTCAATGGTGAAATTCTATATTTAAGTGACAGGATAGACAGAAATCTATACGCAGGAAAATTTGTATAAGACAATAGTGCCACATAGTGCCAGGCATCAACATTGTGTGTGTGTGTGTGTGTGTGTTGGGTCTTCTTTATGATATTTTATAAATCTTTTAATTTTATAATTTATATTATTTATATAAAAATTTTTACGAAACACAATGTTCTCTTACTTTGTTCAACATGTCTCTATATCTGTAGATATGTATATTCTATATGTCGCTTGTAATACGAATAATTGACTGAAAACATATCAAAGGAATTTTGTGTTTTTGATACAGTATATTTGTTTGTAAAGTTGGAAAGACTTTTGTAATAAGTATGATGGAAAGAGAGAGAGAGAGAGAGGGAGAGAGAAGAGGGAAGGTTAAATTGAAATATAAAGTAGTTTTCGAACGAGCCAGGTTGCTAATTTCGTTATGAATTAATTTACGAGCAGATTTTTAGCCGACCGGTAGACAGTAAACAAGTTTTATCTGTTTTTCGAGGCCCGATTTCAAAGGGATCGATGCCGGAACGAACGTCTGTAATACGACAGCAGAATTTAGCGCAACCTTGAGCTACTGATTCTAGCCCTCCTATTGTAACGTGGATCTTTCCTTTCGATTTGCGGTACACGTGCGGTCCTCGTGTATTGAACTCGCTTAATCGCGTTCGATCGCAATGGCAGATATCGCGACACGTAACCTCTTTTGTATCGTGAGTGAATAATGACGATCTATTGATCACAATGCCGTTCATCTCGAGCAATGGTTATCCACCTACTCGTCGTAATACCGTTACAAATATCTATACCTGGAGGCCGATGTGTGTTCTCGCGTAGATCTTGAGACAATGGCGGCATCAGAGAGACGTTATTTCTCGTGTTTTCACTTCAGTAAACGAACAAAATTCGCAAATTTTCGCAAATTTTTCATACAACACGTTTCTACAGGTTACTAGGGTTAAAAGAAATTAAAAATATCGATAATTACTACCGGATAAACGACCTCGTCTTTCTCCAGGTAAATGGTCTTTCTTTTTATTCCCGCTAGTGTAAAACAAAAGGTCGGCCGTAAAAGTTGACAGTTTTACGGCAGGCTTGAGGCGAGAGCTATTCACTCGTTTCCTCTGTGCCGTGACGCTCAAATAGGATCTTTAATCTGTGATACCATCTATCTCCAAAGTTTAAATCAT